CTACCTACTGGGACAATATCTTCAGTAACCATATATTCAACAAGAATCTAACAAAAATGTTATCTAAAACTATGACAACATAACAAAAACTATGACAACTGTGAAAACAGGCAAAGGACTTGAATAGACATTTCACCAAAGAGGACATTCAAATGGCCACCAAACACATGGAAAGGTACTCAATGTCATTAGTCATCAGAGAGATGCAAATCAAAACTACTTTTTGAGTACGTTTAAGATTTAAAAAAAAAAAAAAAAAAGGAAAGGAAATCAATACCATTTATAAAAACAGCTACCAAAAAAGTGAAATACTTGGGAATAAATCTTACCAGGGACAAAAGACCTATACAAAGAAAACTATAAAACACTGCTTCAAGAAACTATAAGAGATCTACACAAATGGAAGAATATACCATGCTTGTGGATAGGAAGACTGAACATTGTGAAAATGCCAATACTACTCAAAGCAATCTATACATTCAATGCAATTCTGATCCGGATTCCATCAACATTCTTTAAGGATATGGAAAACCAATCACAAATTGTATATGGAAAGGAAAGAGACCTCGAATAAGCAAAGTACTACTGAAGAAGAAGAACAAAGTAGGAAGTCTCAAACTCCCAGATCGCAAAACCTACTCTACAGCCACAGATGTCAAAACAGCCTAGTATTGGTACAACAGCAGACACACAGTTCAGTGGAACAGAATTGAGAACCCAGAAATAGATCCAGACACCTATAGTCAGCTGACTTTGACAAAGAGCTGAAATACATTAAATGGGCAAGAGAAAATCTTTTTAACAAATGGTGCTGGCAAAACTGGTTATCTATTTGCAGAAAAATGAAACAAGACCCATACCTCACACCACACACAAAAACCAACTCCAGATGGATCAAAGACTTAAATACATAGTTCATCAAGGAAATAAATAACTATAAAGTTCATCAAGGTAAAAATAGGGGCAAACTTAGGGGCTCTAACATGTGGCATAAATAGACTACCAAGCATAACCCAAAATGCGCAAACAGCAGAAAATAAGCTAGATGACTGGGATCTTCTAAAAATTAAATTTTTATGTGCTTCCAAAGACTTCTCCAAACGGTCAAAAGAGAATCTACAGATTGGGAAAGAATATTTGGCAATGACATATCCAACAAGAGACTCATCTCTAGAATTTATAGAAAACTCCAACACCTCAACAACAAAAAGATTAACAATCCAATTAAAAAATGGGTAGAAGACATGAATAGACACTTCACCAAAGAGGATATTCAGGTGGCCAACAAACACACAAAGAAGTGTTCGCAATCATAGGCATTAAAGAGATGCAAATCTTAAAAGCAATTAGATACCATCTCACCTCAGCACTAATAGCACAGTTCAACAACAAAGAAAATAACAAATGTGGGCAAGGATGTGGAGAGATCTGCTGGTGGGACTGTCAAACAATACAACCACTGTGGAAATCATGGCAATTCCTTAAAAAGCTGGAATTAGAAATACCATTTACTCCAGCAATCCCATTACTTGGTGTTCTGGTTACCTAGTGCCGCTCTGACAAGATATATACCACAAATGGGATGGCCTTAACAAACAGGAGTTTATTCTATCACAATTTGGAGGTTTTAAGTCCAAGTTCAAAGTGCCAGGCTCAAGGGGCTGGGTGAAAGCCCCTCAACCTTGGGGTCCAGCTCTGCCTCCTGTTTCCGGCCCACTGGAGCTAGAGGCATTTCTTCACTCAGACAGCCTTTGGCTGCTGAGGCTGAGAAACCCCAAGGTTGACAAGTAAAAAGGCACAGTCACGATGTTACTGATCCACACGGCAGAACATTAACTTAAGTCCGTTGTAAGTCCCAGGTCGGCAGAACATAGCAGGCTGCTGAGCAATGACACAGCTACATGCAGGGTCCAAGCATGCCATATGCTAGAGACCATTCTCAAAGCTTCTCCTTATATACAGGAAGCAGACCACATACCCAAAGGCAGCTATGCGGCTGTTCCCAGCAGATTCAACCATGGAGTTGATTACCAGTCTCATCATGGGGAATACTACATCCAGCTGCCCAGCCACTCAACCAGGCCTAGCCAAGTTCACATACAAACATAACTACCACACTTGGCACATATCCTACAGAAATGAGTCAAGCCAGGACATGAACAGATACATCCAACCCCATGTTCATTGTAGCACTATTTATAATAGCAAAGAAACAGAAACAACCTAAGTTCCCATCAACAGAAGAATGGATAACCAAACTATGATATATACACACAATGGAATATTATCCAACAATAAAAAATAACATAGAATCTGCAAAACCCCATGTAACATAGATAAACTTGAAGGAGCATAACTGCTGAGAGTGAATAAGTCAATCACAGAAGAACAATCATTGTATTAGTCCACTATTGTAATAAGTCAAGGAAAGGTTTATATATGAAAAGAAACTCTTTGTTGGTTACCTGAGATGGATGGGGAGGGGAGGGAACACCACTCCACAGGTAAAGACAAGTACTGATCTGAGTGAAAGGAAAGGCAATATACCAAAAGTGAGTGACCAACACAGTAACACTAAGGAAAAGGAAGGCACAGAGAGGTACACAAGACGTACACACAACACAGATAGATAAACCCTCTTACATATAGAATACTATGTTATCAGTGATGAAAAACATTCATCTACAGGTAAATAGATGGATAAACAGGCCAAATGATCAGGCATGTCTAGGCAAGAGGGAATATACCCATGACCACATGTAAAGTTGGCAGACAATATTTCTACATATGTATCTGTATATGCTGTAAGAAGGTTCACATATATAATAGAGCTAACAAGGGGCAAAATTATGGTAACTTCTTACTCACAGCGAACCACCCTAAGGGAATGTGTAGTTAGACCTGTGGACTCAGGACCATGATACCAGGGGACATCAAGCTCAACTGGCATAACATACTACACAAAAACATTGTTCTACATCCTACTTTGGTGAGTAGCGACTGGGGTTTTAAAAGCTTGCAAGCGGCCATCTAGATGCAACGACGGGTCTCTCCTCATCCAGAGCAAAGATGAATAAAGAAAACCAAAGATGCATGGAAACAATTAGTCCAAGGAATTAGTGGAGTAGTGGACTATGCCTATATAATCATGAGACCAGAAGAACTAGATGGTGCCTGGCTACTATCAACCACTCAGAGGGGGATTCTGGACAGAGTGGGAGAACAATGTGGAAAAAAACTCAAAATCATTAAAAAAAAAAAAAAAAGACTAAGTTTGCTGGTCTAATAGAGCTGGATGAGACCCCTGAGACTATGGCCCCTAGCTACCTTTCAGGTCTGGAACTGAACTTACTCCTGTGGCCTCCAGCCACACAACAAACAGGCATATGGGGTGAACATTTACATCAGGTAGATATATTCCTTGGAGTGATCGATCGTGGGAGAATAGAAAGGCAGTGTATGCACAGGGAGATAGCCCCAGGGGCAGGAATGCATGGGAATGAAGGACACAGGGAAGAGGTAACTACAGGGAGGAAGTAGGAAGAGAGCTATTACATTGTGGGGAATTGCATTCAATGTCATGAAACAAAATGTGTAGGAACTGCTGTATGGAAAATGAATTTGCTCTGTAAACTTTCACCCAAATCACAATAAAAAAATTTTAAAAAAAAGCTTACAATCAGCCATCAAGATGCAGCAACAGATCTCCCCTCATTCAGAACAAAGAAGAATTAAGAAAACCAAAGATGCATGGAAATAATTAATCCAAGGGACTAGTGGTCCATTTGAATCTCAGCCTATATGACCATGAGACCAGAAGAACTAGATGGTGCCCAGCTACCAGTGTCAACTACTCAGAAAGGGATCAGTGCAGGAGATCCTGGATAGAGTGGGAAAACAATGAGGAACAAAACTGATATACGTGAAATCAAAGTGACGATAGCAATTTGAAAGATTACATAGTAATCTTATGGGGCAATGAATATATGTCAATGAGGGAGGCACTACTCAGAAAGGAGAGGGAGAATGGCTGTACAACTTGAAGAATGTAATCAATGTCACTGAACTGTGCGTGTAGAAACAGTTGAACTGGTGTATGTTTTGCTGTATATAATCTCAACAACAGCAACAAAATAATAAAATTTAAGGGGTAAAAAAAAAAACTGGCAACATCCTAACTGGAAAAAAAAAAAATGCAGCAGGGGTAGAAAGGTCTCTGAAGAGAGTCCCAACTGAAAAGTAGTATTCAGATTCAGTAGAGGTCCTGGTCTTAAAAGCAGCAATTTTCAGCCAGAAGAAGGAGAATATATAAGAATCACTATGGGACAAACAACAAGGAAGTAGGTCACTTCCATCATTGCTTAGAGGTAATGTCACAAAGTTTCAAAGGTTCCTTGAGTGTGCTCGGGCACACACAAAGCTGAGACTCACTGGTCAAAAGCCACTCTTCAGGTCCACACTACCATGTCCAAAACCAGCCCAAGAAAATGAGAAATACAATTTACCCTGTAGTGAGAGAGAGAATTCTGGTATCTCAAGTCGGAATTCTGATAGAATTGTTCTCTAGAAAATTGCTGGGACCTGTGCTTAGTACTTTACAACATCACACTAAGGGTTAAATAGCTATCTTAATTGGGCTATTTAATCACCTTCACTGCTTTTGTGGTAAAATATAGTCTAAGTTCAATGCAAAAACGTAACAACAAACTGTGGAGGACCTAATCTATTGGTGTGATCTCTCTATAAAGTGTGTGTTCACTAAAACACCATGACAAAGACCTACCTTGACTGAGATCACAGGTCTCCACTGAAGAAATGATGATAAGCTGTAATACAAAACAGCATACCCAATAAAGGAACCAATGGCCAAAGCCTCCAGGAAATGGCAAAACTGAAGAACTAAAAACCCCCAACCTGCCCCTAAGTCCCCGCAAGCCCTATCCTGATCAAAAAGAAAGGAATCAAAATGAATCAAGTGACAGAAAAAGGTTAATTCATACCTGTACTATATCCCAGTTCATTTCCACCTCCTCCTTAATACTGTTGGCACTTGCTGGAAGCTTGACAGGCTGCCCCTGAGGACACGTTACAGTCTTAATCTTCTTTAGAGGGGATTGACCAAATGTAAAGTCATCTTCATTCTTTTCCTTCTTACATGTACCTTCCCACATGGTGCTTGTGGATGGCGTCACTGTACTGCTATTCTCACCCTCTAAGTTGGTGCCTTTGTCGGCTTCTTCAACTTTCAGCTTCTTGGTCCTCTGACCTAAAGGTGACTGAGCTGAATTTTTCCGCTTTGTCTTTGGTGTTTTGGGAGACTGCGCAGTATTCATTTCATTTTTTCTGTCTTCCAAATCGACATCAGCAACAGCCACGGAGCTATTCTAACAAACCACAAAAAAATACAGACTTAGAGAAAAACCAACTGCCCTGGAATAGTACTCAACATAAAAAGAAGTAAATTACTGATACACCAACAACTTGGGTAGAGCTCATGGGAATAATGCTGAATGGAAAAAATAATTAAAAAGGCAGTCTAAAATGCTTACATATTATATGATTATGCTTAAATAACAGTCCTTATAAATGATAAAATAGAGAACAGATTAGTTGCCACCGTAAAAGGGAGGGAAGAAGGGAAAAGGGAGGTTAATAAAAGGTCAACACTAGGGATCCATGTGGTGGTGGATACACTGAGCCTACACATAAGGTAAAACTGTATATAACATACACACAAGCATACAAATGAGAACAAAGAAAACTGAAAGAATCTAAATAAGATTGGTGGATTTTATCAATTTCCATCCTGGTTAGGATATTTCACTCTAGTTTTACAAGATGATACCACTGGGGGAAACTGGTAAAGGGTATATGGAATTTCTCTGTATTATTTCTTACAAATGCATGTAATTTATCTAAAATTATCTCAAAAAGCAAAGTTTAATTTAAAAATAAAAGCAAAGGAAGGCACCTACGTAGCACAAACAGGTAAGCATTCACCTAATAGCAAAAGGTTGGTGGTTCAAATCCACTCAGAGGCACCATGGAAGACAATCCTGGTGTTCAGCTTCTGAAAGGTGCAACCTTAAAAACTCTATGGAGTAGTTCTACTCTGCACAGACAGGGTCAGCATGAGTTGGAATCAACAACAACCCTACAATAACAACGACCCTTAAGAGTAAACTAAGAGAATCTATACTAAAAAGGAAAAGCATCGGTCTTCATGTAAGAAAACCAAGATTAAAACTTGTAATCAAAAGTCAGTCATTTAGAGGAAGAAAAGTAACAATCCCACACTCATAAAACTCCACAGGCTATACCAGCCACCAATTTACAAATATTAGAACAGAAAACACAGCATGACAACAGGGCAGTATTAAGTATTTTTCTTGAGTAAGAATCCTCACAGGTATCCAAGTCTCTATACCACCACTGGATCCCACCCCAAGTACCATCTCAAGTGTGAAGAAACAAGACCTGGCACTCCTCTTAGCAATGACAATTAAATGGTAAATAAGATAAAGACCCTGCCCTTATGGGGTTTACAATTAAGCTGGCCTATTCTCAGGCACTTAAGTGATACAGATGGTACAAACAAACAAAAGAATAACTCTCAAACTAAATTTCAGTCCAAATTCAATCTTCTCTTATTATCAACTCTTTTTTCTCACTGGGAACTATAATAAAGAGCACTGCCACTCCAATGCCCAGCCACTACTACTGCCACCTGAACTCAGAAATGATGTATATTATCATTATTATTATAACCCTCTGAGTTCTCATTTTTAACTTAAAACGTAATAGTAAAGAGCAGAGTTATGAAGATAAAATGACTTTCAGGACTGTAAGAATTGATGGTACCTTGATCAAATTAACTGACTCAGCTAAAAAGTAATGTGTCAGCCATAAAGGGAGTTGTCAGCCATGGAGGAACAAAAAAAAACAGTACTGCAAAAGGCAAATATAACCAGCACTCTTTTAACCAGTGTATAAAGGATAGGAAAGCTTAGCAATCAGATTCTGAGTATTTTGACCCCAATGGTAAGACAGCTCTGCTGTGAGATGGACAAACTACCTTAGCTTCATGCAATTAAAACATTCAACTGTCACTGCAATAAGCACAGGGCCTCGTTGTTGCTGTTATGTGCTGTGGAGTCAGATGCTGACTCATAGTGGCCCCTCCTTGGGTTTCCAAGGCAGTATCACTATGGATGTAGACTGCCCAACCTTCCTTCCAAGGAGTGGCTGGTGGGTTTGAACTATGGGCCTTCTGGTTAGCAGTCAAGTGCCTTAGGCACTATGCTACCAGAGCTCCCGCACAGGGCTTTACACCACAGTATAAAAGAATTTATCTAATCCTCCTATTCTGAACCTACGCTCACCAAGCACGATTCTGATTACATAATTCCCTACTGATTATATAATTCCCTACTTAGTTCAGCCTCGAAGAAGACAAAGTGCTGCCCAAAAGAATGTCAAGTCCTTATGATATTAATTATTAAACCAGCACGGTGGTTTTATTCAGCACTATGGTAAGCTTGGCAGATGTAAAAACATCCATGAGAAATATAACTGTTCCTGAAACGCTCACAAAATCACATTTTTTAGTTAGAAACCCAGTTCCATCACGTACTTTCTGTGGATCATGAGCAACTCAATTAGCTTCTCTTGCCTCAGCTTCCTCACCTATAAAATCAGGAATAACAACAGCATCTGCCTCAAGAGATTGTTGTGAGGACAAGTAAGATCATTAAAGTGAAGTGCTAAGAACATTGCCTGGATAATGGTGAGCACTCAGATATTTGGTAATTTCATCATCATTATACCACCATCATACCTCAACCACCTCCTAAGAAGGGAAAAAGTAGTGAATGAAGAAAAGACAAAGTAAAATGACTACAGGTGGGAGATTTAAAAAAAAAAAAAGAGTGGTAAGAGAAGCCAACAGTCATAAATTAGACACTTGGTTTGACAAGACATCCCAGTTAATTGACCTAATAACATGTTGAGTGGCCTCTGTTCTACCTCCTAGTTCAATAAGTAGCACCTGGGGTCTTACAAGCTTGCAAACAGCCTTTCGAGGCACAATTGGTCTCTATTTGCCTACAGCACTGAAGAAGAAGGAGACTCAGGAATAGGAGGCGGAAACTGAATGTGCGGCTAATTGCCACCATGAACAACTGCCTCCTTTGCCATGAGACTAGAAGAACCGAATGGTGCCAAGCTACCATTACTGAATATTTTGATCAAAGATTCTACAGAAAAATGCTGATCAAGAGGAGGAAATGCAGAACAGAACTTCAAATTCTCACAGACTCGAGACTTCCTGAAGCCACAGGTTGGATGAATCTTTGAAACTACTGCCCTGAGATAATCTTTAAAGCTTAACCCAAAAACATCCCCTGAAGTCTTTTTAAAATCAAGTAACAGTTTAGCTTATCTAGTGAAACAAGTCTGCTTCGAGCACTATGTGCTTTTAAGTATTATCTATATGGGATCAAATTGACAATAGTAACTCAAAAGATTAGATAGGTGCTTTAGGGAGCCAAGAATTTATGTAAATAGAGAAACAACAAAGAAAAAAGAGGGTTAGAATGGTTACACAGCTCAAACAGTGTAATCAATGTCACTAAGTGATAATCGTAGAACATGTTGAATTGGTGTGTTTTGCTGTGCATATTCTCAACAACAAAGTAAATAAAATTATATTAAAAAAAAGAAGAAATCTAAGAAAAGATTATTGTTGTTGTTGTTATATGCCGTCGAGTTAGACCTGACTCCGTCAAGGACCTGACTCCGTAGCGACTCTTCCTTGGGTTTCCAAGGCCATATCACTACAGAAGTAGACTGACCAAATTTCCTTTCCAGGAGTGGCTGGTGGGTTTGAACCGCCAGCCTTCTGGTTAGCAGTTAAGTGCCTTAGGCACTACGCTACCAGAACTCCCAGGAAAAGGTAAGCAAGAAAAGAATATATATAAAGCTACCCTTTATTGAAAAAGGGAAAGGAAAAAAAAAATCTCCCCTGGAATTTTCAGGCAAGATTCATCTAAACTACTATTTCTCAAAATATTGTTCACAGAACATTGGGGGACCCTGAGCCCCTCTCAGGAGATCTGTGAAGTCAAAACTATAATTATAATAATGCTTAAATGTTATTTGCCTTTTTCACTCCATTGACATCGGCACTGATGGTGCAAGAGCAATGGTGGGTAAAAGTGCTAGCACCTTACCACAAATCAAGGCACAGCACCAAACTATTCTAATAGTCATTGTTCTCTTCACTGCCACACACTCATCAAAAAAAAAAGTCTGTTCCACTTAAGAACATTCTTGATGAAGCAGAAAAAAATCATTAATAGTATAGAAAAGAATAGTATAGAATACTGACCCTTGAGAAGACATCTTTTTAATATTCTATGATGAACTAGAAAATACACATCAAACATTTCTGCTGCATCCTCAATGCTGAGGTTATCTCAAGGATGAGCCCTTGTGCAATCCTCTGAGATGTGAAATGAACTAGCTGCATTTTCTATGTTGTTGCTGTGTGCCACTGAGGTGATTCCAATTCAGAGTGACACTATAGGGCAGAGTACAACTGCCCCACAGGATTTCTTATGCTATAAATTTTATAGAACAGATCACAACTCTTTTCTCCCACGAAGCATCTGGCGGTTTGAAACTGCCAACCTTTCAGTTAGCAGCTGAAAGTTTAACCACTGTGCTCCTTTCTTTTTTCACAGAACACTATGTTTACTTGAAAGAAGACTGACAGGTAAACAAAACTATGTTTATTCAGACTAAAGTGTCTGGCAGACATTTTCTCATACATGAACTAAATGATCCTATCATTTGAAGGCAACAATATTTATTGCCAGTAATAAAATTCAGGCTTTTAAGTGAACATCAGAATTTTGGAATATTTGTGTTGCCACTGGGAGCTTGATAGCGTCACAATACTCTGATAAGATCAGTGGTTATATTAACAAATGTAATTTTTTTATATGGCATGATGAAAGGTGCCAGGATTTGGAAAATCTGCATAAATCAGTAAACCAGTGTTTTCCAAAAGACCAATATATGACTTTACAAAAACAATGCATAAGTAAAAGACTCATTCAAATCACAACACAAAGCAATGGATTTTACTACAACACAATACAGAAAGTTCATTGATATAGTTCCAAATTCCACAATCAACAAATCTTTAAGGAATTACCACTTGTTCAGTTTTGATGGAGTATCATATCAAGAACATCTGTAAGGTAGGAATCAAAAGGACTTATTGATAGTGAAAAAGTGCCAGAGTTAGGCAGTGGTTCTCAATCATGGCTGTACCTAAAAGTCACTCAGAAATGTTTTATATATATATATATATATATATATATACATACACACACCACCACTGATGTCCAGGCCCCACCCCTGAATACAGATTTAACTGGTCTAGAAAAGGTACTTTGGCATCAGCACCTTTTCAAGCTCCCCAGGTGGTTCTAATGTGCAGCTAAGGTTGAGGACTACTAATGAGAAATTGTGATGAGGTTGCAGAAGTGTGACAGTGAGGGTACCTGAACAAATAAGCTAGAACAGGAGGTAGTGGTGCTACCATGGGATGTTGGAAACAGAAATGCCAGAGGCAACACAGTTTCTGGTGATGAAACTTCAGACTGAGATAACACAAGGGAGCATGAAAAGTAGAGAAAAAGGATAGGTCACTGCAGATAAAGAGGTCAAGGAACCAAGGACACAGAGTGTCTCCCAAGTAGAGGATAAAATCACCAAGAATGATGACAGAACATGGCAGAGAGGAAGATATTAAGCAGGAACTAAAGTTTTCAATGAATGAAGAGGAATGACCAATGAGTTGATAAATGCCAGCAACATAAAGGGAAGAGACTGATGAGGTAGCCTGAAGAGTGATGAATTTTGTCCCTGATATTTGCTAAAAATAGACTTAACAATTATTGGCTGGTTACTAAAATACAGTTTGTAATGAATTTGTTCAGTGGTGGTTACAGCAGAGCATAATATCAAAACTAATAATGAAATCTTCTAACATGTTCCCATGTTTCCAATGAACTATAAAACGAATGTGAACAATTCTGAAAAAAATTTTAAACATCCTCAGAATGCCTCTTTAATAAAAGGCTTCCTATTTAAATTTCTTCTTTTCCTTTGAAAAATACACATATACCAAGCATGAATGGAGGGATCAAGAAGTCCCCATGACAAGAGCTGTTGAGCTGTGAACCCTTTTGAACTATATCTTAAAACTTAGAAGAAGTTCATGTGTACATTTAACTGAGGGGCAGGTCCACACGTTTTATCAGATTCTTAAAGGGTTTATGATCCTAGAACAAAGAATCACTAAACTAAAAGATATCCTAGGACAGGAAATGAAGCTATGCCATTCTTAATTGGAAAAAAAAAAAACCCTCCATATTCAGCCAGCAGAACAATAGAAGCCAGTACTTTCTCAGCTATAGATAAAGGCCCACTCACTCACTAAAAACATGTTCGGTGAAAAGCTTGCATTCAAAGATGAAGAAACAGAAGTACTGGACTACTGGGAAACTTTTTTTTATAGACATTACTAAGACTGCCTGATAATAACAGAATGGAGTGATTCAAAAGTATCTATACAGAGGCCCTGCAATGTACAATGCAGGGTTCCTACTATACACAACAAATGTATCTATAGAAAATTATGCATCCACTGCATATTACAAGAGTATCATGGTGAATGTACTGTTGTTGTTATTATGTGCCATCAAGTCAGACCCGACTCATAGCCACTCCTCTTTCCTTTCTGAGGCAGTATCACTATGGAAGTAGATTGCCTCATCCTCCTTCGGAGAAGTGATGACTACTAGAGAAGTTGTTATTTAAATAAAAAATACAGTGAATTATTTTGGAAATAAATAATTATTTTTGTAATGCAAAACAGTCTATAATGTATTGCTGCTGGGTTTTTTAGTCTAGATCTAGAAAGATGTAGCATTTGCCTAAGGCAATCGTGGCCCATGGCAGGAAACACCATTGACCTGCATTTTTTCTGTCATTTCTGTGCTCTGTCCTACTCTTTGTAAAGAAAAAGTAACATCACTAATAAGAAAACACTACAGTGTTCCCTCTACCCGTTAGAGCACCTACCAGCTCCTCCTTCACAACTACGCCTTCGAAGCCATCACTAATCTTCTTAGTGTTCTTCTTTGCCCGTGGCACCCTCTTTGGCTTAGATTCCTTGCAAACAGGCTGCTTTCGGTTTCTGGGGACTTTCTTTTGGGGCTCCCAGGCACTATCTTCTTTGTCATCTTCTTCAGATTCAGATGATCTAACAGTAAATTGACAGAAAATTTCCAGAGAAAATGAGCCTAAATGTCACAGGGAAAAGAGAAACACACACCATGCTTCTTGAAAAACATTAAGTATAAGGTAGGAGGTATTTCAAAGTAAAACAGAGTTATATGTAACACAAGCGATTAACAAGTATTGCTAAGAACTGAAACAACAGAGTTGATAAGAGAGTGATGTATTAAGTACCTCAGGCTAACCACAAGTCTCTCCATTCTCCCATCAGCTAACAAATACTACACACATATACCCAAGACTTAGGAAATTATTTCTCATCTATAAGTAACTTACTGAGTCATACCATACTATAGTCAATGTGAGCTCTTCAACTTTAACAGTGAAAAACGCTTAAATAAATTCCTAAATGCTAATCAAATTCACTTAAACGGTATTAAGTTTTTCAAACCAAAGATGGCAGAAAAGGCAGAAAGATTGCACAGACCCTCTTCAACAAAGAAAGGGGAACCAATTAACATAGATATAGAAGATAATCCTGGACCACTGTGCCTTGAAGGGAAGTGAAAGTGGACTAAATTCCAACTAGCAGAAGAATTTTCATGAAAACACCAAAAAAGGAGACATATGGACCTGCAGTCTAGCAGCGATCCTGACGGCACAGACAGCTTGGATATTGCCAAGTGGTGGTAGGACCTAAGAATTAACCTAAAAATCGGCCCTGCTAGCCAGGGACTACATGGAGGACTGCTCTAGTGGTCGAGGAATAAAAGGGAAAGCAGCAAAGAGGAAGGCGGGCTAAGCTGTAGACTTTTGTCTGACCGGAGGGCTCAGCCATTTTGAATATTTAAAAGCAGCATGACCATTTTGGATATTTAAAGTGAAAGCATTCTCCCAGATACCAGGGACTTAAGAACAGGGTTCACCTGCAGGAACACCAAGGACATTTAGGACCCAGACAACTGGAAAGGTGTAACATTTCCCTTGTTACTCTTAGACACCACACTCTCTTGGGGAAAGGAAGTGCAGCCATCCCTCACTCCCACCCACTTTCTGGGCTGGCAGCAATTCCATCCCAGTCTGCAAGCCCGGGTGCCCTTCCCTTCCTTGCCCCAATTTTTTTTTCTTTTTTCTGTTTTTCAGTTTGTTTTTGTCTGTTTTAAAACTACTACTATTGTTATTATTACTTTTATCCTTTTTACTATTACTCTTTATTTGTCCCCTCCCAGGTTCTACCGTTCAGCTTTTTTTTATTTTCTCTGATCCTGGTCACAATTATTTTTTCGTTCTCATAGTTAACCCCATTCCTTGTTTTTCTTTTTGAATTTTTCCCATTTTTTTTCTTCATTATTCCCTTCTCTATCTTTATTCTCTTGTCGCCCTCTCTCCAGATATTGCAGGATTTTGGGGTTTTATTCCCCTTTTCCTTTTTTTAGTTACTGTTCCTGTGTGATTACATGGTGTATTTTTTGCCCAGTTGCTTTTACTTTTTTGATGGCTATTCAATTGCCATTTTTATCTGAGTAGAACACAGCAACAGTCCCCATACGATACAACTATACCCACAACTCCTGCAGCTTCACTTACTGAGTGAGAGCCACCACTTCCTTCTCAACCAACAGGCCAGTGATGAACAACCACCAAGAAGAGCCTGACTCACCCTTGGCTGCTCCGCACAAACGGTTAACAGGGATCTAAATACAACACCACCACTATATTTTGGAGACAACAGACCATCACAGTCCACACAAACAAGCAAGATAAAGTGGTAGAAACAAGGGAGCAGGATACAAACCCAGAACACATCCCTGACGAAGCAGCACTAAACTCCCTGATGAGGAATTCAAAAGAATTGTATTTGGGTATCTTCAAAGGATTGAGAGAGAGACAGTAAGAAAACACAGACAACACCCTAGAAAGAATTCTGGAAGAAAGTACAAGAACAAAACAACAAAACAAATGAAAAATTAGAAATGATTCTAAATTTACAACTAGAAATCCAGAAGATTAATACTAAATTGCCAGAAATAGAGAACACATTGAAAGGACAAAGGAGGAATTGATGCAATGGAAGACAGAATTAATGAGATTGAAGACAAATACCTGAATCTTCTTAGGAAAGGGATCAATCAAAAAAAAGATCAAAACAAAATGAAGAGATCCTTGGAGTTCCAGTAAGATGGCGGAATAGGCAGAAAGTCTGCACAGACCAGCTTCAACAAAGAAAAGGGGAACCAACTAACACAGATACAGAAGATAATCCTGGACCCCTGAGCCTTGAAGGGAAGGATATAGAAGTGGACTAAACTCCATCTAGTATAAAAATTTGCATGAAAATACCAAAAACGGAGACATGCGGAGCTGCAGTCTGGCACCGATCCTGATGGCACAGATAGCTTGGATATTGCAGAGTAGTGGTAGGACCTAAGAATTAACCTAAAAATAGGCCCTGCTAACCAGGGACTGCATAGAGAACTGCTCTAGTGGCTAGGGAATAAAAGGGGAGGCAGCAAAGAGGACGGCAGACCGAGCTGTGGACTTTTGTCTGTCTGGAGGGCTAAGCCATTTTGAATGTTTACAAGCGGCTTGACTATTTTGGATATTTAAAGAGACAGCATCCTCCCAGATTCCAGGAGCTTAGGAACAGGTTCCAGTTGCCAGTAACCCCAAGGACATTCCCAATCTGGATGACTAGAAAGATTCGACATTTCCCTTGCTACTCTTACACCACACACCCGCTTGGTGAACGGAAGTGCAGCCATCCCCCACTCCCACCCACCTTCTGGGCCCACCGGAACTCCATCTCAGTCTGTGTGCTCTGACAGAGCCGGGGTGCCCTGCTCTGCCCTGTGCTCCCCCAATTGTTTTTCTTTCTTTTTTCTGTTTTTTAGTTTGATTCTTTTTTGTCTGTTTTCAAACTACTATTATTATTCTTACTTTTGTCCTTTTTACTATTATTCTTTATTCTGCCCCTCCCAGGTCCTAGTTTTCAGCTTTTTTTGTTTGCCCAGTTCCTAGCTGCATTTTTTTTTTTTTTTTTGCATGCTTAACCCAGTTCCTTGTTTTTGTTTTCCCATTTTTTCTTTTTTCTTTATTATTCTCCTTCTCTACCTTTTTTTTTTCTTATTGCCATATCCCCAGATATTGTACAGTGTTGTTTTGTTTTGTTTTCCTTTTTCCCTCTTCTTTTTTTGGTTGCTATTCATGTGTGATTCCAGGGCATGTTTTTCTTTCCATGTGCTTTTACTTTTTTGATTATTATTCAATTGCTCTTTTGGTCTACCAGAGTGGAAGACTGAAACAGTCCCCATACGACACAACTACACCCACAGCTCCTGCAACTTCACTTACTGAGTGAGAGCCACCACTTCCTTCTCAATCAATAGGCCAATAATAAACAACCACCAAGAAGAGCCTGAATCACCCTTAGCTGTTCTTCATACACAATTAACAGAGATCTAAATACAACAATGCCACAATGTCTCAGAGACAACAGACCATCACAGAACACACAAATAAGCAAGATAAAGTGGCAGAAACAAGGGAGCAGGATACAGACCCAGAACACATCCCTGACGAGAAGCAGCATTGGAACTCTCTGATACGGAATTCAAAAGAATTATATTTAGGTATCTGCAAAGGATTGAGAGACAGACCAAGGAAAACACAGACAAAACCCTGGAAGAATATGGTAGAAAATACAAGAACAAAACAACTAAAAAAATGAAAAATTAGAAATGATTTTAAATCTAAAGATAGAAATCCAGAAGATTAATACTAAATTGTCAGAAATAGATAACACATTGGAAGGGCAAAGGAATAAAATTGATGCAATGAAAGACAGAATTATGAGAGTGAAGACAAATATGATGCAATGAAAGACAGAATTATAAGATTGAAGACAAATATCTGAACACTTCTTTGGAAACAGATCCATCAGAGAAAAGAGCAAAACAAAATGAAGAAAGGCTAAGGTTCATGTGGGATACCATCAAAAGGAATAACTTATGTGTCACTGGAATTCCAGAACAGAAAGAGAAAAATAAAAACACTGAGAAAATTGTCCAAGATTTGTTGGAGGAGAATGTCCCTGATATGATGAAAGATGAGAATATATCCATTCAGGAAGTCCAACAAACCACAAACAAGAGAAACCCCAAAAGAAAATCACCAAGACATATCATCATCAAACTCATCAAAACCAAAGACAAAGAAAGAATCCGGAAAGCAGCACATGAAAATCAAAAAGTCACTTACAAAGGACAACCAGTAAGGGTAAGCTCTGATTTCTCAGCAGAAACCATGCAAGCGAGAAGGCAAGAGGATGGTATATATAAAACCCTGAAAGAGAAAAATTCTCAAGCAAGAATTATATACCCAGCAAAATTGCCCTCAAATATGAGGGTGAAATTAGGAGATTTCCAGATAACCAGAAACTAAGGGAATTTGTTAAAACCAGACCAGCCCTACAAGAGATACTAAAGTTTTATCTATGGGAGGAAATTTACTTTGTTGCTTACCAGGAGTGGGAGGGCAGGGGAGGGAACACTGTTAGACAGGTAGAGGTAAGAATTGATTTGGGTGAAGAGAAAAGGAATATACCAAATGTGAGTGATCAACATGCTGGCACTGAGGAAGAAGACAACATAGAGAGTTACATGGGAGGTACAGGCAACAAAGATGAACCCTTTTGCACATACAATACTGCATTGTCAGTGAAGGCAAATATGGGTATACAGGTGGAATAGAGGGGTTGACAGGCTGAAGTGTTAGGTATGTCTATGAAGTAGGGAGTGTACCCAAGACCATGTATAGGGTTGGCAGACAATGGTCCTATAAGTGATCTGTAAGAATCCCCAGGTGTATACTACAGCTGACAAGGGTCAAGGTTGTAATCACTTCTTGGTCACAGCCAGCTACCCAGAGGGATTGAGTAGTTGAACCTGTGGGCTTGGGACCACTGTCACAGGGGACATCAAGGTCAACTGGCATAACATACTACGCAAACACTGTTCCACCTCCAACTTTGGCAAGTAGCAACTGGGAACTTAAAAGCTTGCAAGCAACCATGTAGATACAACGATGGATCTCTCCTCGTCCAGAGCAAAGAAGAATGAAGAAAACCAAAGATTCATGGAAACCATTAGTCCTAGCAACTGGTACTCCATGCCATCCACAGCCTATATGACTATGAGACCAGAAGAGCTAGATGGTGCCCGGCTACCACTGTCAACCACTCGGAGGCGGATCTACGTAGGAG